ACGTGACCAACCACTATCGATATACCATTTCTCATCATATTGCTCGTCACATAGCACCTACATTCAATTAAAGAATTTAGGTACCCAAGACTTTTTGGGTCCTTGGAAATTAGCTTTGAAAATAGAATGAAATGTAGAACCTTTAACCCAATCACAAACTTTACTTTTGAGACTATCAATTAAGTCAACATCACTAGGTAAAGGAACAGAAATATAAGTTTTTGTTAGTTTAGGATTGTCACTGACACATGCCTTCGTCTTTTTAGATTAAGTATGGACAAGCTTTTCTTTCGAAACTGGTTGCCAAGTTTTTACCAAAAACATTCGAATCTTTTGAATATGAGCTTGCATTTGACGAAGTATTCACATACTTCTCATAAGCTTCGTGAATTTGTTGTTGAGAGTATTTCCTTGATTGATACATTCGTCCTTTTCCTTCGAGCCAGTGATCAATGTTTTTGTCACGAGACAACCCTTTTGTGTACGAAACTTTTAAGGTTTGTTTTCCTGTGGGATTTGGAAAATTCGGTTTTTGTGGGAAGAAATCAACATTTGATTTAGGTCGAAATGTCATGGCGTATCGACTTCTATCATTGTTTCCAACACTTCGATTTTGAAAAAAATCGATTTGGAGATTTTTGTTTTTGAGAAAACCTTGTTTGTTGATTAGAAGAAAATCGTTGTTGTGATGGTTGATTTTGAACATTCTTTGATGTATTTTTGTTATCTTTTGAAAATGATGAGTTTGAAACTTTCGAAGAATTTATTTTTGGTTGAAATTCAGATTTAGATTTATTTGGTTGAGCGGGATTTTGCTTTGGATCTGAATGAATTGTTGAACGAGAAGACTTGTTCTCAACAGATTTAGTCTTTGTGTTTTCAGTTGTTTTCAAACTCAAACCATTTTGTTGTTTTCGAAGTTCCATGGTTTTCCAAAAAATCTTCTTTCGAGCTTGTCTTTTTGAAATTGCATTTTCTTTTGAAAACTTGTCAATTTGTTCTTTAAATTCTTTGGAATTTAATTTGACAACAATTTCATTTTCCACAACAACTTCTTTTGTAACTTCTTTCACAATTTTCGATTTTTCAACCCATTTGCGTTGTGGTTTTTGTCTTTGAAAAACATACGAATTCTTTGTTAAGGTATTTTCGACTTTGCTTTGATTTGAAAAGAATCCTTCGTCTATTGTCTTCTTGTTGTCATCTTCGACCATTTTGTTGAATTATGGTTTAATGTTCTCAACATTTCCAGTAGTAACAAACACTTGATTTGCAAAGACAACATTATCAGTACACTTGAAATTAGGATACACCACTTGATTTGGTTCCAAATAATGGGCTCCTTTTTCAGACAACACTTTGTCGAAATTTTCAGTGTCCCCAAATACTTGATCAACAACAACACGAGGAATTTCTTTTTCTGTCGAATCTTTGTTTGATGAGACCTTTTTATCCGAATTGTCATCATCATTTTCATCATCACTGCTATCCGTTTGACTATCTCGGATATCCACAAAATCACAATCTTTCGAAGTAGAAGGTTTGTCAGTGTCAATCTTAACTTCCAAATCCTTAAGTTTTTCTTTTCCTTTAGATTTTGATGCGACATTAATGAAAGACAACTGAGAACAATCAACATCCTCAATATCACTAATTTCGCTAATATTGTCAGAGTTATCTTCAATATCGGCAAAATTAGATTGAGAATCAGATGTCGAATTCTCAGTCTTTTTCAAAATTTTGATTTGTTCTGATTTAGTTAAAGTATCATTCACTATATCAACTAATGCATCTGTATCCAGACATTCATTAATTTTGACAATTCCATATGCATATCTATCATCTGGGATTTTGTCAAACTCAGCAATAGTTTTCTCACAATCATACGAAATATTATCAACCTTTTCTCTCTCAAAAGCTAGAAAAGGCAATAATTTTCTATGTTGCTCTTTGCTTATTTCACACGAATGATGTAAATCAATTAATTTTCCATAGAGTCGTTTAGTAGTATTACAGTAGATATTACGTTGTGCTAACAGAAGTTTTACATCACTAGTTAAAGAATCTCTATCGCACATGATGTTTGTGATTTGTAATTCTAAACACTCAACTTTACTTATTTTCGAATCTAAACGCTTATGGGTCTCTAACAACTGCGTTGACAATTTCTTAGCCTCATTGCTAGCAGACACAACAATTGAGTCAAAATAAGTAACAGTTTCATCAAAAGATACTAATTCAGAGTCATAAGCACTTATTGGAATATTAAAAGATTCAAGAATAGAACGTACCTTTGTTGTCATTGGAGACTTGTCAGCAGATTTTGTTACGAAGCATCGCCCTGTCACCTTATTCTCCTCTTCATCCGAATATTCCTCATACTTCGCATACATAGCACCATGCGTTGGGTTATGCATTTCATCATCATCTGATCTCGAAGACCAGATTTGATAAGTGCCATTTTCTTCCTGCTCTCCTTTTGCCACCAAAGATAAATTCTTATCTTTAGCCCTGACCTCCTCCAGCCTCTCGAGATAGTACGCTTCATCCTTGACTTTGTTCTTCTTTTCATCTTTCTTAGGAAGTATACAATCATTCGATAAATGATTTGCTCCATTGCAGTAGTGACAATCCACCCGCGAATCTCCTTTTAACTTTTTCTCATTCTTCACCTCAGTAACTTTTGCATCATTCTTCTCAAACTTCTTCTTCTCCTCACCAACAGCTTTACTCATAAAACCTCCTTTTCCCTCATTTTTCTTGAACTTCGGATTAAACGGCTTCTTGAAAAACTTTTTGACACGATTGTTTGAGTAAAAAGCTATTGCCTCATCGTCCAAATTCATTATAAAACCTTCTTCCTCCTCAGAATCATCTTTTTCGAATGTTTCTTTCTCAGATACTTTGGAGACTAGCGCTAACGGACCTCCCAGACTGAGCTTCGACTCCTCGGCCATTTCATTCACCTCACTTTCGTGAGTTTTCAATTAATTGTACAAATCATTGAGAGTTGAAGTATCAATACTCTGATGATTCTTCACCATCATACTCACGCTTCTCCATTCTTTACGAAGACCCATTATGAAAATGAGATTGAATTCCATCGTTGTCCTAGTGATTCCATAACGATTATAGCGATAAATCAACTCATTCAGACGATCGTAATAAACTTCAATTGTTTCAACCTCCTTTTGTCTGAAATCCTTCAGCTCCACCAAACATTGCTTAACAGAATTGATTTTAGTCTTCTCGCTTCCTTGAAACTTCTCTTTCAGATTTTTCCAGATCTCTTTGGCAGTTGTACAACTCCTAACATAGTTGTACACAACTGGAGGCAATGCACCTCGCAATTCTCTCATGCATCTTTTCTCCAGTTTCTTCAAATGATCAGATTGATTTTCAACACTAGAAGTTCCAGAAGATGATCCAATTGGTTGAACATTTACAGGAGGAATGATATTTCCAGAGATGCAAGACCACAACTCTTCATCGAGTCCATTTAGGTAATCCTGCATGCGATCGGCCCATTGATCATAATATTTAGGAATAAGCATCAAAATCTTAGTAGAAGATCCGAGCAGATGAGAGAAAGAAGTCATGAATTGAGATTGAAGTTCGCCATTGATGTAGGGATGTTGATTTTTGAGATTTTTAAGAATTCAATGAAAATTTGAAAGCAAATAGCTGAATTGAATTAAGATTACAAACAGAACACTCGATTCAACAATTCAATTGTAGAATCGAATTACAACTAGCGATCTAGAGCGAATTTTCACTTCAAAAAGCGCGGAAACTTTTTGAATCAAAATTGATTCAAAAAACCTTTTGAAACGACGTGAAAATCAGATCATAAGTTGTGATTCCTGCTCTGATGCCAATTGATGAATCGTGGAATCAAGTATTAATCAAAATCAGAGTAAAATGAATGCAGATTGAACAAACGATGTAAATAAGATCTGGTTTCTGCTCATTTATGCTTTCAACGTTTACAGAGAAAAATAGACTGGTTCTGTAAAGTACTCTTGTCTAACTCTAGTAAAGTTCCATATTTATAGGAACAGTGAAAGCATACAAAAAATACTAAGGCATTGACACTTAAGCTTCGTACGAAATACACCTTAGTAAATAAACTTAACAAACATACGAAAGGTACAAAAGACTTCGACATATTACAACTAAATTCGACCCTTACACTTATCCCCTGTTTTTTATTTTTAATGTCATTTTTCAAACACTTACGTTTCCAGATAGATGAAATCTTTTCATCTCTTTTGTGAATTTTTGAACAAGCTCTGGAAACAAAAGATTTATCAGTGTGACACGATCTGGAGATAGATGACTGATACACTGATGTACACATAGATTCATCAGTGTCAGAAGATATAGAGTCATCAGTGTCACGACTGCTAACAATAAAATTTAGAGAAAAACTAAGTATTGCATGCGTGGAGTGAAATTCGCCATTAAATATAGGAAAATTAATATACATGTCAGTGGTAGGAGTTGTAACATTGAAAGTAGGATTTTTAATAGTATGGTATAAGGCAGTTAAGCTAGTAGAACATATAGTGACACCATCTGGGTTTGTTATGCAGTGTTTATCTATAAGAGTTTGATTTATATACGAATTGCTTACAAACATAGTTTTAAAATCATATTTAAGATCATCGAGTGCAGAAAAATTTGTTTCAGTTTCAACCTGTTTATAAACTTTAACAACCTCATCTATATTTCCACCAATGATTTTCTCACAATGATCAGGTATGTGGGCATCTATGATTTTGTTTAGCTTGTGATGAGAGTGTGGCCAATTATCAATTATGCCCTGTAACTTATCTACATGCAATTCAGCAGTATCGTTTTTTGCGTGAAGGTTAATATTTTTAAGATATAGATTTGTGACATTAATGATTGTCAGAGCAAGTGTTTCTTCAGTGCATGTCTGCTTATCTGTCAATGTCTAAATTTCTAGCCTAAGATATTTCTTTTCTTGATTAACATTATAGAGATGACGAGTCCCATGCGATCATCTTTGAATCTTTAGCAGCTTTATCCATATTAACGTCAAAAGAACTCGGTCTGTTCCTTCCTTCATCAATGACTAATGCATCAGTGTGTGCCATCAAACACTTGTCCTTACCTTTGTCTTCATCAGATGATTCTTCACCATCCACCCAATTTTCCACCTTAGTTATCAATATATTCACATCAAAGTTCTGCCTCTTCAGAGAGGCGAACAACTTCTTATACTTCTCCTCATAATCTTCATTTATATCCACCATCTTAGACTTGCACTCCCTGTAAATTATCAGTGCCTCCACAATTAAAGCACTTGGGTCCTTCCTTCTTTTCAGCAACTAATTTTCTACCACTGTCATAGCATTTAGACACTGATGAGTCAAAATTTTATGAAAAACTTTTGGAACCAGATGGTTTCTTGTCACTCCGGCTAATGTAGCTTTTGACAATCTAGGCTACACTTTCAGATTCATCATAGAAGTAGCTATCATTATTTGGGACTGACTTCTTTGAATAGAGGGAAATCTGTCTATATGAGTGTCTCACATAATTTCCTTGCACAAAATATTCGTTTCTTCATGATTATGAAGATTGCCAAACAATGAAGATAGATCCATGGTTGCTATTTTCTCACTATTCATTAAGACATCAACATGATGTTCACAACTATCATTCAGTGATTCAAGAAGCTTGAGAACCAGTTTCGAGTTTTGTGCATGTTGAGACGACACATATCGTTAACCAAGCAGTTGAAGCGATTGAAAACTTAAGTGAGAGATTTGTTTATATTGCTTGAAAAGTGCTAATACCGTTGATTTAGGCTGTTCTTGTTAACAGACTTAACTTCATAAGTTCCTTCGCACGCTACAGTCAGCGTATCCATCATTTCCTTAGCAGATCTGCAATTTTAGACAAAATGGTAGATGTCATAAGGAATAGTGTTTCCTATGGCAGCACGAGCTTTGACATCAAGAGCGACAAGACGTTTATCATCGTCATTGAATTCATGAGCATGTTTTTCGACCAATTAACCATCCTTAACGTTTTCCTTCATAACCTGATACATAGGAACATGAGGACCATCTTTGAAAGTATTCAACATGGAATAATCCATGGTTTGAAGAACTATCATGGCTTTTGACTTCCTCATAGAGAAGTTCTTCTCATCAAACTGTGGGATCTTGTGATCAGAAGTGGTAGAAGTGGTAGTAATAGAAGTGGTTTTAGATAAACAAGGAGAGAACATTGTTAATCGATATCAGTAGCCTGCTCTGTTACCAGTTGTAGGTTTATTGATCAAAATTGGTTAACATAAAAGATAAAGAACAATGGTTTATCACAAATGTTTTTCACTAAGAAAGTTCTCACAAAGAGAACGAGCACAAAGCTAGGGTTCGTGAATCAACAAATGACACGAACCCTTGATACATGGTTTTATTGTAACGTCCCAAAAATACCGAGTAAAAAATTTCATTTAATTAAATCAAAACCATTCATTCAGTTGTTCCAAAAGATAATCAGAGTAAAAGTGAAGAGACTCACCTGAACTACTCAACAGAAGCTCAACAACCACCTTAGCAATAGCACAGCCAACCCAATCTTCCTAAAATCCAAACTGAGACCAATCCTTTGCCAAATACTCGATTCTACCCAAGTTTGACCAAAAGTCAAACATATCAAAAAGTCAACAGTCAAAGTTGACTTCAGTCGAGTGCCACGTTGTGGCCATCCATGACAACGTCGTGGCCCACAAACGACAAAACATAAGATAAATCCCCAATCGACACATCGTGGCAACCTAAGGCCACGTCGTGGTCTTCAGTCTGAAAATATTTTCTTCATTAAGAGCTTAAACCATAAGGACCAAAGCTAAAATCATCAGATCTATTTCATAATAGCTTCATAATGGTTAAAGTTTCCAAATTTATCCATTAGGAAGGTCCAAACCACCAAGATCTAGACTTTAAGTCTCAAAGGGACCCAAAAATGCATCCTTCTCTACTTAGTCCATTAAGTCCAAGTCTCCAACCTTAAAATCGGAATCAACATGATGTTTAAATGGATAAAGTTTTCAACTTTATCCATAACAAAGTCACAAACTTTCAATATCTAAACTTTAATACACCAAAATGACCTAAAGGACCAAGATAACTTGCATGAATAAAAGGGAAGGCAAAAGATCATAACTTTCCTAATCCATGAGGTTCAAGAAGCATTCCAAACTGATCAAAAGATGTTGGAGTCCACTCAACTCCAAGATCACTCATAAAATGGACCAAAAATGCCGAAAATCACAAATGAAGAGATCTAAAGAACTAAAGAGCAAGATTGGAACTTTATACTCACAATAGTCCATAAATGTAGTGCCTTTGATGGATCCAAAATTGAAACATCAATCCTTGCAACCAAAAGAACCTTCTTGATCTTCATGCTTCATCAAAACATCACCAAAATCATCTAAAAGAGGAGAAAGGAAAGAGGATTAGCTCAAATCTTGAAGCTGGATGCTAGGGTTTCTCCTAAGGGGTTCTAGAGGTGATGAAGGCTAATAAAATACCCTAACACATGAATCCTTACCTTCAAATAACTTGAAAACCCTAATTAATCCTTGGGCTTGGGCTACACAGTTCTCACGTCGTGAGAATATGCTTCTCACATCGTGAGAACGGGTTTTCACCCATTTCCATTTTAACATTCAAACAATCATAAATTCTTCGTTTCTACTCCGTTTTTGGCAATATTTGTATGCACGGAAAGGTATTGACGAGCCCCGCAACCCTGTCTAATTACTTTTGACTTAACACATGCTGAACTAATATCCTTAGTTCATGAAAGAGGTCTGAAACATCACTTTTCCCATTTTTCCCTTTGACTCCAAAACACAAACCAAGAGCTTAGATCATATAACCAATATTATCAACATCCAATAGGGTCTATACCATTTTCCCTTGAGCCCAAGGCCTTTACTTGATCTATTTATTTTCCACAATCCCGGAATAAGAAACTCCTCGAAACAGGATGTTACAACTCTCCCCCACTTAAACTGGATTTCGTCCTCGAAATCCGTCTTGATTAGGATCTCTGAAAACAATGCCAACATATTTTATAAGCTCCATTTAACCATTTAGAAATCAAGTCATATTATAAAGAAAACTCGAGAGACCACTGGGAAAACCATAGCTGCCAACAAACAACCTAATTACTTAAAAAATACTCAACCGCAACAACTATTTTTCTCTCCCTAACTGTAAGACCCAACTTCCAGTGAAAAACACTCAGACCTGGAACTCTCTAAACTACAACCACAAACCAACTCCATCAATATACTCCCCGAAATTGGGAACCCATCAGTCTAAACTTCAGAAACCATACCCTAAGACTCATGATAATCCATTTGTCGTACCTACCCCTAGTTCCCTGACTAGTAACACCACCAAACCATGAAGAAATAATACTCAAAACATCACTATCGTGAATTTCACCCAATCCCAAATCCAAAAATTATGCCCAAAAACACACTTGAGTTCCTGATAAGTCATCACCAACCCGGTGCTCCCACGAGCAATGATGGTCAATCCAAGAATTTCATGTTGCATCTAAATCCTTCATCAGCTCAAGTGTACATCCACCTGACAAATCACTCGGGACATTTACAATGAACTTCATGAATTGAGATTTCAGAACAAATACCCAACATTGGTAACCAAAATCCTAATAAGCAACCCTTAAGAAAAACAGGGTCCACAATTGCAAGCATCCATCAAGCGAATTTCGATGCACAACTAATAGATCAACCAAAACATATCCACATGATCCAAACTAGTTGGTCACTAAGTCTCCCGACTCCCAAAAATGCACTAACACTAAACCATGCCAAAGACTGACGATCCGAGACCTAAGAGTCTCAGTCAAATGGCTATCGTGTCCCACCCATATGAATCTTATAGCCATTGGTTCACGATACATCATGACACCTTCTAACCATTAAAATGGTAAGCTCACAGTACCATGCCGATCTTGCCGCCATTCCATAACTGGCCTGAAGACTCGCAACCAACACCACAAGGGTCTAAAGGTACTCAACCATCAACCCATCGACTTGCAGGAACCTAATCAACACCCCTCTCAATACTAAACAAACGCAACACGAGCCATACCCTTCTATAACGCACAATTCCTTTCATAGTTCAGGCTGCTACCAATGCAAAATAAGACAAAAACATGGTCGCACACGACCAGAGAATGAAATAGGCAGTTGTACTCTTGTTCCATTTCAAAGGCTATAAACCAAATAGGAACCATGCCAATAACTTGAGCCAATTGTTCTCATGTTATCACCCTCAGTCCACATATACCCTCATGACAATATCTAATGAACTTACCACAATACACATCATCAAGGGAACTCATAACCAACCCTAAATCTACCACATTCCTTCTTCCTTACAACCTTATGCAAATGGTGAAGTACCTGTAGATCTAATTGAAATGACGAACCTCAATCGTTAACAGAAATATCTCTACGAATGACCGAAACAAGATCCCACACCTTGATTGAAACCAAACAGATCCCACCAATACGTAACTAGCTTGATAAAACTTCTAAAGTTATCTAGAAAGGCTGTTAAAACCCTGGTCTAATCAATCTACATACCAACCCAGCCAACACGACATGCCAAAATTGGATTATACGTAGATCTAAAGTCTCATCTGGAAAACTAAACAACCCTACCCCAACATTCGAACTTCCAATAACCAAGGACATCTGCCAAACTCGAGCCTGCTATGAACAATAATTCCACAATCAACAATTGAAGGTAAACGTAACTAGAGGACAAAAATATACAACATACAGAACTTGACAAACAGTTGACGCATCCATTGAACTTCAGCTGATACAACTCGAAACTTTCAAAGAATCTCTGTTATTGACAATGAATGAAATGACCAACGATCGAGAATGCATTAACAACTAATCCAATAATCCAATACAATACTGAACAAAGCTCATGTGAAACTAAACATACCAAACTCTGAAGCTGATTGACCGATCAACAAATGCCCATCCTAGACTACAGATAGCAATCTATACAACGAGCTGACAAATCCCTCAACAACCGATACTTAACTTGAGCGACCCCAACGCCTCTTGATCTATTCATCGGCGTACCTGAAATGAACCACTGGCTACAACGAGCTCCTTGACTAACATATTCCTTGTAACGTTCCAAAAATATGACCCAAAATTTTCATTTTAAATTTA